GATATTGAGCTTCTCCAGCAGTTCTTTCCACATATGTAATCAATCTGATTCCTATGCATACCATCAGGTGAAATCCAGGTATATAACCTGCGTTTATGTCTCTTAAAAAAATGTATTTGCTATGAATAAGTCATTGATTGTGCAAAATTCGATCATTCTCTCTCCAGCTCCATTTCTGTCCATGTTTTCCAACTACTTAATCTTCTTCTTTGTTCCCCCGACTTTTGCATTCCAGACTAATTGATTACTTCCGATTAAAGTAAGAACTTCACCTTTGCAAGCAGATACTTGTTATACAGATACAAATAAGATGGGTTATGCAGGCTATACTAACAATAAAATAATAGAGCAGTTAAAACTAACTTGACTTCTGTTCAATTGGCTAAATTATATACTATTTTTATGTTATCGCAACATAAAAATTTCCATTTAAACATAGTTACTGAGGCAAAATATGATGAGTTTACTGTAAGAAATATAGAAACAGTATATATTCCTTCACAAGATATTAATATTAGTATGTTATTTACAATGCCACAATTAAATAATAAAATAGATCAATTTAGTTGGACATGTTAAAATTAGTGAAGATTTTTTTATCTCCATACTCATTTAAATGTTAATAGAATTATGAAAGAATTTGAAATTATACAACAAGCTCAAGAAATTATACAAAAATATATTTAGAGTCCACAATTAAGGTTGCATAGTGGAATGTACTTGGGGTGGTGGGAGGGGTGCGGGGGGGGATTGTGTACCAGGGAGGGAGTCTTTCTTTTACTTTTGAAAGAGAGGAGCCAACTGGGGGGGAGGGAAAGGCTGGGCGGGGAGAGAAGTGCAGCAATTAATGAATGGAAATCCAATATCTCTGTAAATGTTCATTAAAATTATTTAAAAAAATGTATGCTATGTAGTCTCAGTAATGTACCACCTTACAAAAAAAGAGTCAGTCCTTGAAGTGATAGACAGACTGTATTATGGCGAATAGATGTTACTCATATTCCATCATTTTGGAAATTACAATATGTTCATCATACTATTGATACTTTTTCAAGCTTTCAATGGGCCACTGCTGTACTAAAAAAAAAAACCCAACACAACAGAATATGTAATTCAACATTTAATTAAAACTTTTAATGTAATGAGTATTCCATCAAGTATTAAAACTTACAATGCTCCTGCTTATAATCTAGGAAAACACAAAAGTTTTTCAAAAGTAGAATATTAAAAAAATAGAATATTAAACATATTACTAGTATTCCTTATAATCCCCAAAGAAAAGCTATAATTAAAAAAAAAGGCTAATTTGACTTTAAAAACTATGTTGAAAACCAAAAAAGGGGGAGGTGGGATAGGATATCATTTCGAACTATTTTACAAAAAGTCCTATTTAAATTTTTTAAAATGCTAATGACAAAAGTGGAAGGAGGAGTGGCATCCACTTCCTTAATAGCTTGCCACCCTATGAACCTGGAGAGAGGAAGAAAGGCACCCAAGTATCAAGGACTCTCCTTCATAGGGTCCCTATGAATTGCCTGTGACTGATGGCACTTAACAACAATAACAATAATGACAAAAGAGAAACTCCAGCTGAAAGACTCTGGGTGTTACAAAGAGTTGAATAAGCCAATATATTTTTAAGAACCTCTAACTAATGAATGGAAAAAGGGATTTGTCATTCATTAGGGTCAAGGATTTGCTTATATTTCTACAGGCACAAAAACACTATAGGTACCATCCAGAACGTGAAACCCCAAGATAAGCTGAGAGAGGGCGCACTTTGACAAGGACAGAGTTGCAGAATGCTTAAGTACGATAACATTAAAGAAATCTAAAGGACAAAGACCGTTACCAGAGACTAAAAAGGCTGAGACACTTACATAGGCCCAGATAAAGAAATTTACACTAAAAAGAAAAAAAAGCATTACCAAAAAACAGGGAGGGAACGCTGGTGGCCTAGTGGCAGGAAGCTGGACTACAGTCCCAGAGACCCGCGGTTCGAATCTACCCAGTGCTCTGCTGGAGAAGGAGGGACAATCTCCTCCTGTACCAGTCAGATCCAATTTGACAGTACACAAACAAAAATAATAAAATAAAATTTTTAAAAAAACACCAAAAAACCAAAGCAGGGAAACTAGTATCTTCTGAACATTTGTTTTTAGCTATGCTTGCTGTATTAAGTCAGTTAAGAATAGCAGATACTACCAACTATTTTGGGCATATATTCCTAATCTTCCCTTATTAAAAGTAGTTCAACCACAACAAGATAAAGGTAAATAATCCAATAGAAAAATGGGCACAGGATATGAACAGGCACTTCACCGAAGACGACATTCAGATGGCTAGCAAGCACATGAAGAAATGCTCAAAATCCCTAGCCCCAAGAGAGATGCAAATTAAAACAACTATGAGATATCATCTC